GGGGCCTGCTGCCTGGGCGGGGCCTGCTGCCTGGGCGGGGCCGCTGCCTGGGCGGGGCCTGCTGCCTGGGCGGGGCCGCTGCCTGGGCGGGGCCTGCCATGTCCAGGTGGAGGAACAGTAGCTGAGATGTGGGGGTGGGGTGGCAGCAGGACAAGGTGTGACCACGAGTGTGGGGCAGGCAGCAGGGTCCAGGGAGACCCTGAGTGCCCATCCCTCCCTAGCCCTGGCAGCGATCACGGCCTGGCTGCGGCAGCGCTGGGGCCGCTTTCTCTGGCTCTCGGCACTGGCGGCCATCGTCTTCCGGGCTGAGCTGGCCGTCTTCCTGGGCCTCAAGCTGCTGCTGTTGCTCTTGGGAAGGAAGCTCCCCCTGAGGAAGGCACTGCGCCACGCGGTCCCCGCCGGGGCCGTCTGCCTGGGTGAGTCCGTGCTCATGATGCCCGCTCCTGGACTGCAGGGGCTGCTGCCCTGCTGCCCACCTCTGTGTCAGAGCCAGGGCTGCAGGGAACACTGTCCTGCTGTCTGAGTCTGGACCCCATGCTACAGGGGCACTGTCCATGCCTGGCTACAGGACGTTCTGTCCCTGACGGCCCTGAGGGGCCATTGTCCTGCTATCTGCTGGGCAAATCCCAACCAAATTTGCAGGGGGCGTGGTCTCGATGGCCATTGCTATGCCTGGATGGCAGGGGGCGTGGTCTCGATGGCCATTGCCCACACTCCCAGGCTGCAGGGGTGTGGCCTCTGCTGCCCCCGCCCTGTCCTCAGACCACTGGGGCGTGGCTTCAGAGGGCTCTGCCCACAGCAGGGCTGCAGAGGATGCTGTCCTACCTTGTGCTGGGCCACCCCAGCCGCAGGCCCAGCCCACAGGGGCTCTCTGTAGTAGAGGAGTTGTTTTTGTGAGGGCCCTCTTTCTGCGTCTAGACAAAGCTGAGCCCTGACCATGGAGAAGGCTGCTGGTGGGGGGTCCATCCTGTGAGGAGGGGTTGGGAGGGAGCAGCTAGGGAGAAACCCCTGTGAAGAGGATTGTTGGGAGACCTCCTCTCTGAAGGGGTGTCCACTGTGAGGGGAGCTGTGGGGGTCTCCATCGTAAGGAGGGCTGCTGGGGGGACCCTCCTGAGGGTCACTGGCAAGGAGGGGCAGTGCTGTGCGTGTGACCCCGTCCGTGGGGCCCAGTGGGCAATGAGGACGTGGCAGCGTCTCCTTGGGTCTGTGTCTAGGACTGACGGTGGCCGTGGACTCGTATTTCTGGCGGTGTCCCGTGTGGCCGGAAGGGGCGGTGCTCTGGTACAACACTGTACTGAACAAGAGCTCCAACTGGGGCGTATCCTTGAGCGGCTTCGTCTGTGTCCCTGCGTCTGCTGTCCGTCCTGTGAGGTCAGGCGGTGCCACGTGGGCAGCTGGCACTCACCGCACAGCGCCCTCTCCCCCCACACTGTCTGTCACCGCTGCATGCTCGGGGTCCCTGTCGTACTTGATGAGAGCCCCCCTCTCACCCTCAGGGTGACTTCTGTGTCTGCTCTCACCCTATACTTGGGGACCCTGGTCCGTGTGCGGAAAGCTTTCCTGTACCTCCTGACTGGTCCACCATGCTGTCCTCTGACCCCACCTTTGCAATGAGGGAGTCAGCAAGAAGAGCCTTCCTGCAACTGACCACTCCTAGGGTCTCTGGAGTGTGGGGACTGTCCCCCACGGGATGGCCTTCTCCATGTGCCAACCCCATGCATTGACCACTCCTGGGCTCCCCTGGGTCAGTCCTCTATGCGATGGCTGTCGCCATGTGGCACCCCCAGTTCACTGACCACTCTCAGGGTCCCCTGGGTCTGTCCTCTACGGGATGGCTATCACCATGCAGTACCCCCAGTGCACTGACCACTTTCAAGGTCCCCTGGGTCAGTCCTCTATGGGATGGCTACCGCCATGTGGCACCCCCAGTGCACTGACCACTCTCAGGGTCCCCTGGGTCTGTCCTCCACCGACATGGTGGTCTTCATGCAGCACTCGTAGGTTCCTGGGGTGGGGTTGTGGCTCTCCATGTGGACACTCCTTGACCCTGCAGACCTCCCCGGCCCTGTGGTACTTCTACTCCGCCCTGCCCCGCGCCCTTGGCACCAGTGCCCTGTGGGTGCCGCTGGGCATGGTGGACCGGCGGGCGCGGGCGCTGCTGCTGCCGGCGCTGGGCTTTGTGCTGCTCTACTCGCTGCTGCCCCACAAGGAGCTGCGTTTCATCATCTACACCGTCCCCGTGCTCAACGTGGTGGCCGCCCGGGGCTGTGCCTACCTGTGAGTGGGCGTCCAGGAGCGGCGAGGGGGTTCAGATGGATGGGGGTTTTGGCGTCAGGCTGCAGGGCTGCTGGGGTGACGGGCCCGACGGCAGGGTGGTGGGGTCTGACAGTGGGATGACAGGTCTGATTGTGGGACTGCTGGGGTGATGGGTCTGATGGCGGAGTGGCGGGGTCTGGCGGGTGGGTGATGGGGAGAGTCTGCTGGCATGGCGGTAAGTCAGACAGTGGAGACATGGTGAAGGGAGCCTGGCCTCATGCTCAGTGAGGGTGGGGATCCACACAGGTCGGGGCTCAGAAGGTGGGAGAGCAGCTTGGGGTGGGGAGGGGACTGAGGGAGGAGTAGGCAAGTCTGTTAACTCTGACGGCGGCCACATAGTGTCCACGTGGTGACCACCAAAAGCCAGTGTGATACTGGTCAAACTGTAGTGTCCGTGTGCACTTGTCGCCCTGGGTGGTGTCTGGAGGGATGTCCTTACGCACTGTGTTCCTGAGACCTGAGCTCATGTCCGCCTGCGTCACGGGGCGTGGCTTTCCACCTGCGCTCTGCCCAGGCTGCACAACGCCCGGAAGTCCTGGCTCTGTAAAGTGGGCTCCTTCCTCGTCCTTGCGCACCTGGCTGTGAACGCCACCTACTCGGCCGCCTGCCTGTACGTGTCCCACTTCAACTACCCAGGTGGCGTCGCACTGCAGCAGCTCCACACACTGGTGCCGCCCCACACAGGTGGGTATTTCCTGCTGTAGTGGGCGTGGGCTCAGACAGGGCGAGCGCCCCCGGAGTTAAGTCTTCATGCGCCAGGTGGCAGCTTGGCTGACATGCCTGGGCTGATGGCTGACCACCCTCCTCAGGAGTCGCGGTGCACATTGATGTGGCTGCCGCGCAGACGGGTGTTTCTCGGTTCTTGGAGCTCAACCCTGGCTGGAGGTACGTGTCTGGTGTGCCGGGGTTTCAGTGGTTTCCGCCAGGACGTGGCCACACTTCCTTCAGGCTCCCTCCCAGCCTGGAGCGTTGGGGAGGTCGAGTGGGGCGGGGCCACCATGTCAACAGCTGAGCCCCTATCTGCAGGTATGACAAGCGAGAGGACCTTCAGCCAGGGTCAGTGGGCATGCTGGCCTACACCCACCTGCTCCTGGAGGCGGCACCTGCACCCCTGGCCCTCTACCAAGACTCACATCGGGTCCTGGCCCGTGTGTCCGGCACTGAAGGCGTGCATCTGAACCTGACTCACCTGCCGCCCTTTGATATCAACTTGCAGCCAAAACTAGTGCTTCTGGAACGAGTGCTCGGGCCATCCTGAGAGGGTCCTGGGGACCAGGACTGTCCCCACCAATCCTGCTGGAATGAGTGCTCGGGCCATGCTGAAAGGGTCCTGGGGTCCAGGACTGTGCCCACCAATCCTGCTGGAACGAGTGCTCGGGCCATGCTGAAAGGGTCCTGGGGTCCAGGACTGTGCCCACCAGTCCTTCTGGAGCACATAGCTGTGATACTGTGGGCAAACTGAAGATGACAGAGAAAGAGAGTGACCATCCCCACACTCACGTGGGCTCCGGCCAGTATTTGATGCTGTGATGTTGGGATGAATGATGGGTGCTTTCCACACTAGACACTGGTCGTCCCACCTGTGCTGCTCTGTGGCTGTGTGGGGTGGGGGTGTCCCTAAAGATACACAGCTCCACAGGTCACTAAACTTCCAGAAGGACATTCAATTCCAGAACATGCCAGAGGGTGACTGTCTCCTTTGTAAGCCGTTTCAGAATGACCCATGTTAATGCAGCCTGCGTCTACGTTCCAGACTCACTTTGAGGAGATAATGGGTTAAATATAGAGTTGAAATTAAATTTTTCAGTTTTTTTTCTTATGTGGCATCTTCTTATTTGCTGTTGTCAAGTGCCAGCTAGTTGACTACCACTCAGTGACCCTGTGAAATCTTGTCCTATCCTGAACTGTCCTCACAATTTCCAGCATATTTGAGCCAGTTGTTAGAGTCACTGTGTCAGTCCTCAGTGAAGGTCTTCTGCTCTTTGATCCTCCACCTTTCCCAGAAATATATCTTTTCTTCCAAAGACTGGCTTCTCCTGACAACATGTCCGAAGTATGTGAGACAGATTTTACCTCCTTGCTCCTCAGTCCACAGTGTATTTACATAAGCACCAAAGTTTAAAGGCTTCAGTTCTTCTGTTGTCCTTATCTGCTGCCCCACCTTCAGAGGCATAAGAAGCACCTGAAAATAATGTACCTTTGATCAGGTGGACCTTAATCTTTAAAAGAAGTTTCCTTGCTCTTCAGCAATTTGGAGATGTCTTTGAGCAGATTTCAAAGTGTGACACACCTTTTGATTGGGCGGTTGCTGGGTGATCTTCAGCATTTTGCTTGCATTGATTTGAATGATATTATTTGATAGTTTCCACACTCTGTTTCATCACCATTCAACTGTCCTCTAAATTTTCTGGCATAGACTGGTGAGGGCATCCGGGGTTGCATGAGTTGGTATCCCATCAATTCCTGGGGCCTTATTTTTTGCCAGTGTCTTCAGTGCAGCTTTCACCTCCTTCTTCATTACCTTTGGCCCTGCTTATATGGTTGTTGTTATGTGCCGTCGAGTCGTTTGCGACTCATAGCGACCCTATGTACAACAGCCCTAAACCCTGCTCTATCCTGTGCCAGTTGCACTGCCTCTGACAGACCCATCCCAATTACCCCAGTCACTGAATAAATCCACCTCATAGAGGGTTGTCCCCTCCTGCGCTGTCCCTGCACCTTACCAAGCATGATGTCCCTCTCCAAGGACCTGTCTCTCCTTACAACGTGTCCAAAGTATGTCAAACGAAGCCCCAGAATCCTTGCCTCCAAGAAGTATCCTGGTTTAACCCTCTCCAGGATGAATCTGTTTGTTTTCTTGGCAGTCCAGGGAACATTCAATACTCTTCTCCAGCACCACAGCTCAAAGGCATCACTTCTTCTATCTTCCCTAGTCACTGTCTAACTCTCTGATGCATAACAAGTGATTGCAAAGACCATGGCCTGTATCAGGCACACCTTAGTCTCCAGAGAGACACCGTTGCTCTTGAGTACTTTAGAGAGGTCCCTAACAGCAGACTTTCCCATCGCGATACGTCTTTTGATTTCCTGGCTGCTGGTACCAAGAGTGTTGACCGTGGAGCTGAGCAAACTGAAGCTGTGAACAATCTCAATCTCTTCACCATCCATCCTGATGCTACCAATTGGTCCAGTGGTGAGAATCTTTGTCTCTTGACATTGAGCCTCAGTCCATACTGATGGCTGCAGTCCTTGACCCTCTGCAGCAAGTGCATGAGGTCCTCCTCAGTTTCGGCAAGCAGGGTTGTGTCATCTGCATAACGCAGATTGTTAATAGATCTTCCACCAATCCTGATGCCACTCTTCTCATAGAGCCCAGCCTCTCAGATAATCTGCTCTGCATACAGGTTGAAAAGGTATGGAGATAGGACACATCCCTGGCGTACACCCTTCCCAATTTTGAACCATGTGGTGTTACCTTGCTCTGTTCTAACGACTGCCTCTTGGTCCAAGTATAGGTTTCACATTAGCACGATTAAATGTTCTGGGATTCCCATTCTTCTCAGAGTCAGCCACAGTTTGTTATGATCCACATAGTCAAACGCCTTTGCATAATCAATGAAATACAGATAGACATTCTTCTGGTATTCCCTGCTTTCAGCTAAGATCCATCTAACATCAGCTATAATATCCCTAGTACCACGACCCCTTCTAAACCCAGCCTAGACTTCAGGCAGTTCTCTGCTGATGTACTGTTCCAGTCATTTTTGGATAATCTTCAGTAGAATCTTGCTTGCATGTGGAACTGGAAAATTTTCAGTGTCGGCTCTTTTTGGTGCAGTGACGATGTATTCCCTCCATTTTCTTTTGATACTTCCTGCATCATTCAACTGGACAATGACTAGGGATGATAGAAGGAGAGTTAATGCCTTTGAACTGTGGTGCTGGAGAAGAGTATTGAATATACCATGGACTATTAGGAGAAACAAGTTCGTCCTGGAGAGGGTGAAGCTGGGCTGCTCCTTGGAAGCAGATTCTGAAGCTTCATCTGACATACTTTGGACATGTTGCCAGGTGGGATCAGTCCTTGGGGAGGGATGTCATGCTTGAGAGGGACAGCGCAGGAGAGGAAGACCCTTGATGAGATGGATTGATTCTGTCACTGGGGTAAAGGGAGTAGGTGTGTTGGAGATAATAAGATTGGCAATGAATAGAGCAGGGTTTAGGGCTGTTGTACGTAGGGTTGCTATGAGTTGCAAGTGACTTGATGGCCATAACAATAATGATGTTAGTTTGAGGACTAAGGTGCATCTGTTTCAGGCCATGATCTTTCCAATCACTTGCTATCTGAGAGAGGGACAATGAATAATGATGACAGAAGAAGAATTGATGCCTTTGAGCTGTGGTGTTGGCTTGAATAGGGTGCAGCCAGGGTGCTCTTAGGAGGCAAGGATATAGAGGCTTTACCTTTGAAATGGGAACATACATTAATTTCTTCCAGTAGTTGACCTCATAGCTGTCTTCCAAATTTGTTGGTATAGACTAGTCCGCATGGCCAGGGCTGCAAATATTTGTTGAAACATGTCAGTTGGAATTCTTTTCAATTCCTAGGTCTTTTCATTTTTGCCAATTGCTTCAGTGCAGCATGAACTTCCTTTCCTTACCACTGGTTCTTGACCTTATACCACTTACTGAAACAATCAGGCATATAATTATCATGACGCAAGACAGCCTTCTCTGGCACCAGCTGGATCTTGGGACCTTCTGCCTGCAGCTTGAGACTGGCATGAGTGGGAAACAAGGCAGGATTTGGGTGGCTCCCTCAGTACAACAAATTGACAGGTATACTTCTTTTTTTTT